CTGAGATCATGCCATATAAGACTTAGTTGAAGGAATTGTAGGTTTTTAGCTCAGAAAAGAGAAGGCTCCGGGGAATGTAATAGTTTCCTTCAAGTATTCAAAGAGTTGGCTTGTCAAAGAAATATTAAATTTGTTCTGGCTGGCCTCACAGGATAGAATTAAGTTTAATTGGTTGAAATTTCAGAAAGGCAATTTTGGGCCTGACTGATATGTAGGAAAACCTCCTAACAATTACAACTACCCCAAAATGGTATAGACATTCCTGGGAAATAGTGGATTTCCCCTCACTGGAGGTCTTAAAAAAAGCTGAATGGTTTCTTGTCTGGCATATTTAGAGAAGATTCTTATATTACGTTAATGATTTAGATTCAATGGTCCTTGAAGAGCCTACAACTCTCAGATTATGAGGTATAGAAATTCAATGAAGAATTTTATAAGATTCTCCAAATTAAATAAAGATCTGACTTAATACTCCATGATTTCAATGGAATAGTTATCATAATGAAGAATGACAATCAGAGATGGAAAAAATGTACATGTCAGATCTATGAATAAGGGAAGAATTTATGACCAAACAAGAAACAGAAGAGATTACAGGAAATAAAATAGATGATTTCAATTACATGAAATTAAAAGCTTTTGTACAAACAAAACCAATGCAGCCAAAATTAGCAAGAAAAGAGGAAATGGGGACAGGGGAGTAATTGCAGCAAATTTCTCTTATAAAGGCCTCGTTTCTCAAACATATGAGCCAAATTTATAAAAATGAGAGCCATTTTGCAGTTGATAAATGGTCAAAAGATATTAATAATCAATTTTCAGAAGAAAAAAATCAAAGCTATCAATAGTCACATGAAAAAAATCCTCTAAATCACTACTGATTACATAAATGTAAATTGTAACAATTCCAAGATACCACCACATACATATCAGATTGGCCAACATGACAGAAAAGGAAAATGGCAGATGCTGAGAAGGATATGGAAAAATTGGGACACTAATGCATTGTTGGTAGAGTTGTGAACTGGTCCAACCATTCTGGAGGACAATTTGGAATTACAACCAAAAGACTATGAAACTGTACATACCCTTTGACCCAGCAATACCACAACTAGGTCTCTAGCCTGTAGAAGTCAAAGAAAATCAAAGAAATCAAAGGCAAATGGAAAAGGGACATATTTGCACAAAAATATTTATAGCAGCTCTTGTTGTGGTGGCAAAGAATTGAAAATTGAGAGGATACCCATTAATTGGGGAATGGCTGATAAATTTGTAGTATAATGAGCAAGGGGTTTCAAAAAACCTGGGAAAACTTATATAAACTGATGCAAAGTAAAGTGAGCAGACCCAGAAGAACATCGTATAAAGTAACAGCAATATCATGATGATCCACTGTGAAAGACTTAGCTACTCTGATCAAGACAATGATCCAAAGGGCCCATGATGAAAAATGCTGTCTACCTCCAGAGAAAGAACTGATGAACTCTGAATGCAGATTGAAACATAATTTTTTAAATTTTATTTTTGTTGGCTTGTTTTGTTTGTGTTTAATTTTATGACCTAGCTAATATGGAAATATTTTGTATAACCTCACATGTATAATCAAAATCAAATTGCTTGCCTTCTCAAGGACAAGGAAGGGAGGGAAGGAGAAAAAGTGAAATTCAAAATCTTTTATAATTATTATTTTAAAATTTTACATGGAATTGTGAAATATCTAACAAAATAAAAAATAATTTTTCAAAAAAGAAAGAAAAATATGGCTCGGCATTGAGAAACAAAAGAGGCCAAAGGTTTGTAGATGATCAAGTCTCATGCTTCTATATCATGAATATTTTCTTCAACAAGAAAGGCTAAATACATTAGATATGGTTAAGTAGTAAATAATATTTTTCTTTTGTCCAGATCTTTGGATTTGTTTGGATTTTTTCAGAGAACTCTATAATAGTAAACACACTTTCCACTGATGCAGATTGGCAGTTCCTTATGGTTTTAGATTGCTGCCTGGGTCACAGAGATTAATTGACTTGCTCATGGTCACATAGCTTATGTTTGATAGATATGAAGCTAGGTTTTCCTGACTTCAAGGCCAACCCTCTATCTATTGGGCCTGTGGCCATCAAATACAACACAAAAAACAAAATTGAAGAAATGTCTGCTTATTGATGTGGAAATCATTTCTGAGTCAATTACACCTTTACCCTCCCTTGACATATGTACCTCATTAGAAGAATAAAAAATGAGATATAGGATCAATCTGTCAAGGTACAATATAAACTATTTAAACATCTGTTGATACCGAAAAATGGGAAATGGGTAAAGGAATACATAGCAACGGACACTGTCACTATTTCCTATGTGGCTTAACTTCGATAAATCAATCCCTCCAACAAAAAGCATGCAAACCCCCAATCTCCTTGCCAGGCAGAGATACATAGTAGCCAAGAACATTGCTGGGTAGGAATAAACTAATATGTAAAAATATACAGAGAAGGATGGTGGATTATGAGCAGTTTAATTTCATAAAACAGTGAGAAGCAGTGGAGGGAAAGACATGTATACAGAGTTTGGCAAGGGGCCAGTGGATCAGATCCCCTGAAGAGCACTTGAAGATGAAACTAGAAGGAAGACAGCCAACAGATTAAAAAATAGATGATCTCTCAAGATAACTAATCATTTCTGCTCTTCTTCAATGAGAGTGGAGTTGCCACATTTGGACTCCAACACCACAGTTACCAGTGTTTTGCATCAAAAATTAGATATAATCCTAAAGAAAACAAAAGTAGTAAGTGAAGCTGGACCCAATCAAATATACACAGTGGTGGCCCATGCTGACAACAATACAATCCTAAGAGCATCAATTCTCAAATTATATGAATGAGGGAAAGATAAGGAACAATTAGGAAAAAATAACAGGTGTTCCTATCCAAAAATGGATAACTACCAACCCTTATCTCTTTCTCACTATGCAGATAATGCATATACAAGTTGATAATAAAAATGTAAAAGGTAACACTCAAGACTTCACAAACAATATACTAGAGACAGCCACTGAAGTGTCACAAGTGACTGAAAGAACCAGAGAACCTCATTGTTGATTTTTTTTTGCTTGCAGACTATAGTAAAAGAATTTCATTTGGAAGAGCAAGTACACAATAAAGGGCTTCCTTCTGAGTAGGTCACTGTGTTCCTCGAGAACTTTTCATTGTTGTTTCTGTGACTCCTACCCCCACCATCTAGCTTAGTGCCTAGTACACAGTAGTTATTTAATAAATGTTTGATTGATGTTAGTATTATAAAGATTCTCTAATAGAAGCAACATCAGATATAACTCTGTTTAACAATCTGATTATTAATATCATTTAAGGCATAAAACAGAGGTGTGCTCACCCAAGTTATGTGACTGTGTCATGAAAGATGATGACGTACATACAATTCAAATACAGAGTAACTATAGCATAATCCTAGAGGAGAAAACATTGGCTATTGAAGAGGGAAGAGGGATATAAGGACAAGCTTCTTGGCAAAAGTGGGATCTGAGATGAGTCTAGAAAGAAACCAGGAAAATTACGGGGTCAATGGAAGTAAAGAGGAAAAGCATCCTAGACTTAGGGGACAGCCAGGACAAAGGCAAGGAGGCAAAAAAAATGAAGTATTTATATGGGAGGAACTGCAAAGAAGCCAGTGTTGCTGGATCAAGAAGCCAGCTTATGAACATTTTAAATGCCGAATAGAAGTCATTATATGTGATCTTTGAGATAACAGGGAAAACTGTTGCCCACTAAGAAACACTGGTGTTGATATGCTCACTGTGACAGATCATTTTGACAGCTGTGTAAATTATGGATTGGAGAGGGGACGAAAGTCAGGCATGGAGTCCATAGAGAAGGGTTTATTGCAAAATTCCAGGTAAGAGAGGATAAGGTTTGAACTATAGTGGCTAACTACAATGCTTACTATCTGAGTGGAGAGAACAGGAGATACAGGAGAGGTGTTGTGAAGGTAGACACAAGATCTGACATATATTTGAGTAAATGTGCCTTCCCACAGGCATATTGAACTCATCTATTCCATTACTCCTCTTCCTCATGCCTATTTTTGGAGAGAAACTGGGGGAGGGGAGTAGGGGATTCTCTCTGTAATGTCTTAGCTTCCTTACTTCATTTATTTCACAAAAGACCAACTTGATGATGGGAACAGATTGTCTAGTATTGTAGTTATGACTATAATTCCCTAATAGGCTCTAAGTTTTCAAAGGACAGAAGCAATGTCTATTTCATCTTTGCAATCCCCTTAGTGCCTAGTGTAGCCCACAGGGGGTAGTTAATGTTTGTAGGATTAAACAGATGAATGTATGAGAAACGTACCACAAACTTTTCACCACAGTACATTATAAAGAAAAATTCTGTATATGGAGGGCTTATCTTAAACCTAATTCAAGGGACCTTAATTTTCCATGTACCACAGCTCTTTGCTTTAAAGGCTGACATGTGATCTAAAGCGGAAATTAGTAACCAGGAGTCCCCAACATACAACATGCCCCAGACAGCCACACATTTCTGTATACGTGGCAGTGAGACCTCAACACCCATGCTCTTGCTGTTAGGCTGTGTGGTCCATTCCCACGCAGCAGGATTTTCTAGAGAGCTGGACAACTCCAAGGTGCTGGTTTTTCTGCCCAAATATTCTCCTAAAGTTACCATCTCTGCAAATCTAAAAGCATCAAAATTGCATCTTTTTTAAGTAAATGGATTTTCTTTGCTATAAAAGTATCTATGCCTCAGAGAAACTGCTTAGACCCTGATGATCAGAAAATAAATCCTGATGGCATCCTATAGGCCATCATCTCTCACCACATTGAGATAGTTTGCTATATTCAGCGTGTCCAAAGTAAGCCATTAGTTCTCCCAACAAAGAACCCTCCCAAAAGACTTTTACCATAAACTTCGTGCCTAAGTGGGCACTTGCTAAATGAAACTGACTATCTTTCTCAATTCCAGGAAGAAATATGCCCTCAGATGGAAGGAGAACTCACTCAGTCCTGCCAGTGGGCATCTGCAGTCAACGTCAGGAACCGATATATCTATGTGTCCCAGCCAGTACTGAGCAGAATTCTCATAATAGATGTACAAACTCAGAAAGTCCAGCAGGTATGTATAACTTCACAGTGGTTCCTGAGAACCTTCAAGTATATTAAAGCTTTCCAAAGTTCTCAACAAAGTACTTGACAGTAGTAGGCACTATGTAAATGCATGTTCTCTTGCTCTTCCCTCTGCTTCTCTTATTGTTTGCTAGGGAAGAGAATTCTCTATCCTTAGTCAACTTTGATTCCCATCCAATAGACTGGCCTCCCAACCTAAACAGGTATGTTTATCAGTGGCTGGAGGCAAAGGTTATATTCTGAGAAGCTGTGAGTATTTAAGAGGTAACACCTTCCCTGTCTGCTCCATAGTCACCAGCTCTTTAGGCTAGAGGCACTACTTCATCATAGACCACCCCCCCCAACATAATGACACATAAGTAGGCCTATATGGCAAAGACATGTCAGGAAGTGGGCAAGAAGTGGGCAGAGGAGGGAAGGGCAGAGGAAAAGGGCCTTGGACCTGGGCCTTAAAAAGTGTTTTGTTTCATGGTCATCATCAGACCAATCCAAGAAACAGCCAATCTATAAGGATTTCTCATTCAGCTCACAAGTACAAAAAATCACATGTATTGATCCTTGATAATATAATTGTTTGCTGAACAATCCCAGCCTGTCAATATGTACATGATATTAGAGGTAAAATATCACTCATTCAATGTTCTAACATGCTTAGCTAAGTTGTTTCCATGTCCTGGTAGTGCCCAGAGTGATTAAATCTGATCTGGGCTCTATAAATTTTGCAGACTGAGAAATCCTCTGAAATACATAGTTATACAGGACTTATATATACATCAGATCATTGAACTGAGCTTTGGGCTCAGGATGGACATTTTGTACTGTGGTTGTGTTCAGAGGCCTCTGATCATCAATGTAGTCACCTGTATTGAGGAGACTTGTGTAGTTTCAAGCTTGAGCCAAATCCAGATGTTGCTAGAGGTAGTAAGGCCTCCCTGTCCTCTCACTAAATCAGGCCAGGGAGAGTGGCTGGTGTGAAAATGTGACATTTCAGTTTGAGAAGCTATAATCTTAACTGAGCAAGCCAAGATGAAAAGGCACCTGGCATAGCTATTACACTCAGCCTGCTTAGTGGAAATTATTTATTCATAATTTGAACCAAGATCCTCTGCCTTTTACAACATGCCCTAAGAGGGAAATCTTAGACCCCTTGTATCCTGAGGTTTGTCCTCCAATTATCACTGGCAGAAGTTTTTTTTTTCCCACCAGATTCAATAATGCAGTCTGGAGGTCCTTCGCAACTCCCTCATTCCCTCCCTAGCAACTGTGGATCAGTGTAAGGAAGAAAGAATTTCCTTACAACTAGAGCTGTTCAGTAATGGTGGGAGTCTGGTTTCTCTATTAGTAGAAGAGTTTAGGCAGAGGTTGAATGACCACTTGTCAGAGACGTCAAAGTAGGGATTCTTCCTTCACGGAGAGGCAGGCTAGACTGAAGTCCTTGCCAGCTGTGAAGTTATGGGAACGTTGGCATGGCGTAATGGAAAGTAGATTGTTCAAATACTTAACAGTTCACTTCATCCCAGCTCTGCTACATAAAACCTATGTGAATCTGGGAAGTCACTCATCTCCCCTGAGTTTCATTTCCTCATCTGTAAAATGAAGTCATTGAATGGTCCCTACCAGGCCTACAGACTTCTATGGTCCCTATGCTCCTCATCTGTCAAATGAGAGGGTCAGATTTTCTAAGGTCCTTTTAGCTCTAAATGTTATGATTCCCTTTCAACCGAAGTAGAGGGATGTCTCTAGGAGAACAAGTTCCCTCACACAAAAGGATCCTTATAGCTGCATACTGGTATGGGATTTGCTCCATGTAGCTCCATGTAGTCCATGCTGGACTGATACTAGTCTTCCCAAGGAAATACTGGATCAGAATAAGGTGAGCCAGTGAAAATGCTACAATTTAAATTCATGAGATTTTGTCAATTGAAGGAAACCCCAAAATTGTTAAAAAATCAGAGCTGGAAAGTACATTAGAATTTATCTCTCATTTATAGAAGAACATTCTGATATCCAAGTAAAGAGCTGTTAGTCCATCTTTATATAATAATTTAACGTTCATAAAGTGCTTCCCATACAACAATCCCATGACATAGTAATACTGTTCCCATTTTACAGATAGGAAAATTGAGGCCCAGAGAGGGGACTTATCTTGCCCACATTCTCACAGCTGATCAATGGCACAAATAAGAACAGAACACCTTCCTTCTGTCTCTTGCTTTGCTGCTCTCTCTCCTACCCCATTATGCCTGTCACTAGAGACTTCACCTGGTTTCTAAAGTTGATTTCTTAGTAAGCAGTGACCAGAATGTTTCCTCATTTTTTCAAGGCCATAGGTGTGGATTCACTACCAGCTAAGCTGCTCTATGACAAGTCGCATGATCAAGTCTGGGTTCTAAGCTGGGGAAATATGCAGAAGTCCCAGCCAAGACTTCAGGTACATTCATGAAATCCCTATATATTTGCATGGAAAGATAATGCAATTCTTTATTTGTGTTTCAAATGGGAAATAGTCCCTTTCTTCTCTGTCTTCTCTTTCTCTTTTCCTTCCTTCTTCCTCTCTTTCTTTCCTGCTTTTCCTTTTCCTCACTCTTCTTCATTTTCCTTTTCTCCCTACCCTTATTTCTCCCCTCTTTTCCCCTTTCACCTGTTATTTCTCCCTCTATCCCTTTATTTTTCCTCTTATCTCACTTTCTTCTGCCCTCCAAATTCCTAGTCCTTTCTCTTTGCTATGGAATGTTCCATTCCATGAAACATTTATTTCTCCAGCTCTAGTAGCCCTGGATATCTGCCTCACATTTGTATGACATCTAATGCCTATGTCCTCCTTTCTATCAGGTTGGGTCACGTAAAATTCCACAGTAAGGTGACTTCTGGTTAGGATGGTCTGTTCTTTTCTCATATGACCATAATTCTACATCATTTAGGATTGACTCTGGGGAATTATCACCCTCTGAACAGATGGTCTCCCTTAGGCAGTCAGGCCAGGTCCAAGTGGCCTGTTTCAAATAGCTCTCGGCTTCTAATGGTCTGAATAGACACTTCTCATTTATTCTCAGCTTAGCCTTGAAGTTAGTGGCAACAGAACCTTTCCTTTTTCTTTTAAATTATTGGGTTATTCACGCAGGGTCAGCCTTGTGGAAAATCATTCACTGGCACAGAACATTAAATTCAAGTGTATCGGCATGGGAAAAGGACCTCTTTTTATATCCTGCTTAGGCATATTTGTAAAGAATACTAACATGATGCCCCATCCATTCCAAATGACAGAACTAGCAGCAGGAAGTTTCAGAGAAGTATATTTAGGCTTCATGTAATAAAAAAAAATTCCCAATATTAAAAGGCAGTCAACAAGCATTTATTAAGCACTTACTGTGTGCCAAAGGATACAAAGAAAGACAAAAGTTCTCAAAGAGCTCATAGTGTAGCAAGATAGACAACATGCACACATCTATGTCCAAAAAAGTGTATATAGGATAAATTGGCAAAAATCTACAGAGGTGCTAGCATTAAGGGGGATCGGGAAAGGCTTCTTGTAGGGGTGGGGTTTTAACTGGGATTTGAAGGAAACCAGGGGAGCCAAGAGGCAGAGTTTAGGAGAGAAAGCATTCTAGGCATGACAGTCTTCCAGACAAAAATGCCTGAAGTCAAGAGATGACATGTGTTGTGCAAGGAAGAGCAAGAAGGCTGATATCACTGTATGCAGGGGCATATGGACTGAGTAAGGTATAAAAAGACTGGAAAGTTAGGAGGGGTTCATGTTATGAAGTGCTTAAACACCAAACAGTGGATTTCATATTTGATTCTGGATGTGATAATGAATCATTGAAGTTTATTCAATAGAGGAGTGAAATGATCAGATCTGTGCTTTGGGAAGATCACTTTCACAGCTAAGTAGAGGATGGACTGGATTAGGGAGGAACTTCTGAGAAGGAGAATAATCAATAGGCTATTGCAGTCGTCCAAGCCCGAGATGACGAGGGCCTGCACCAGAGTGAGGAAAGTTTCAGAGGAAAGAAGAGGGAATATGTGAAAGATGTTACAAAGGTAAAATTCGTAAGACTTTGCAACAGATTATATAAAAAAGTTGAGGGGCAAATAAATGGTGCAGTGGATAGAGCACTGGCCCTGTTGTCAGGAGGATCTAGTTCAAATGTGGCCTCAGACACATAATACTTCCTAGCTGTGTGACTCTGGGCAAGTCATTTAACTCCAATCGCCTCACCAAAAAAAAAAAATCAATGAGAATTATGGGGCGGCTAGGTGGCACCGTGGATAGAGTACCAGCCGTGAAGTCAGGAGGACCTGAGTTCAAATCCAGCCTCAGACCAAACACTTGACACTTACTAGCTGTGTGACCCTGGGCAAGTCACTTAACCCCAATTGCCTAAAAATTAAAAAATAAAAAATAAAATAAAAAAGTTGAGAGGTATTGAGGAATCAGGGATGATACCAATGTTGCAAGCGTGGGTGAATGGAAAGATGTTGGTGTCAACACACCAACAACCAACAACCATCAATAGGGATATTAGGAAGGAAAGCAGATAAAGGGATGAAAGATGTGTTCAGTTTTGTTCGTGTTAAGTTTAAGATATCTGTAGGATATCTAGTTTGTTTCCCAATAAACAGTTGGAGATATGCGTGAGAAGGTTAGGAAAGAGGTTTGGGCTGTATAAATAGATCTAAAAATCATCATAATAGAGATGATAGTTGAATCCACAGTAACTGATGAGATTCTTGCATAAAACTCATAGAGCAGGAAAGAGAAGAGAGCCACATGGTACACCCACTGTTAGCAGGCATGACATAGATGAAAATCAAGCAAATGATAAGGAGTTGTCAGACAGGTCAGATGAGAACAAGGGGAAAATCACACCACAAAAACCTAAAAAGAGAGTATCAAAGAGGCATGTTAGAGGTTGAAGAGAGACCAAGATAATGAGAATTTAGAAACGGCCATTAGATTTGGTATCTTTGGAAAGAGCTATTGTGTTAGAATGATGAGATTGAAAACCAGGCTAGAGAATTAAGAAGAGAATGAGAGGAAATGAAGTGAAAGCACTGATTGTAGAAAACCTTCTCAAGGAGAATGCCTACAAATATGAGGCGAGAGTATAGGACAAGAGCTAGCAGGAATGGGTGGATCACATGAGGGTTTTTTTAATAATGAGTAAGACATAGGTGTGCTTGTAGGCAATAGGGAAGTATCCAGAAGAGACTGAAGGTATGGTGAACAGTAGGGATGACTGTGGGCATGTCTACTAGAGAAGACATTTGGGAATGGAATCATTGTGCATTTAGAGGGCTTTGCCTTGGCAAGGAAATGGTCCACCTCTTCTCTGAGACAGTGAGGAGAGGAAAATTTGGAGGTCTTGTTAAGCAGCCTCAATTTTTTCAGTGAAATATAAAGCAATGTTCTCAGTTGAAGGGGGTTGGGGGTAGAGGTGGACTTATGAGAGTTTTGAAGAAAAGGTCTGGAAAAGACACTGGGGTGAGTGGAATGTTGAGTCAATTAGGGAGATTAAAAATAAAAAAGATAGCCTTGCCAAAGTTAGGGCCCAGTTGAGATCATATAACGTAAATTTGCAGTGTACCCTGTCTCCAGGAGTGTACATGGTGTTCAGGGAGGATCAGTATATCTGGTGAGAGCATTGCCAAGCCTTTCAGGGCTGCTTACCCACCTTTGGTTGTCCACCTGTCACCTACATCTCACCTGTGGCTCTAAGAAGCTGTAGCATGCCAAACCCCAAGAAAACTATCCTAGAAGATGGGTGAAACCGGAGTGAGGATAGCTTACAGGCCTTACAGTAAATTAGGTGGATATCTATCCATCAGGTGAAAACTTCTCCTAGCAGAATGGGTAGACAAGAACAATTTTGTTGCAACAGCCATGAAGGTAGCTGAAGCAGGTGCTGTGAAGTGTCCAGAGCTTCATCAGACATAGAAGACACTAAGGTCATCCACTGCATTCTGGGCCATCACCAGTCATCTTGACTTCTGTCTTGCACTGGACACTGATGACTCTGGAAAAAAGAGTGAGGCTGAAGACTGCGCAACTCTGCCTCACTTGAAACAAATTCACTTGTAAGTCGAGACATCACCCATCATCCACTACTCCATCCACCTTTAAGTCTTGTAGCAATGGGTGAGTGATGAAGCATCAGGTGGGGATACACTGGGAGCTGCAGTCACAACCCTGCACACAGGCAACCCAGGGTAGTGGGTCATCTTTTCACTAGATCAAAGAGCAGTGGGTTTTAGCAGCCCCCTGGGTGTCTGACCCAGTGTGGTCCTTTAAAGGATCACACTGCTCACCTCCTGGCAGGAAGAAGGGACTAGAAACAGAAAAGATGCCTAAAAATGACCTGCTTTTCACAGGAGGCACGGATCCCACCTTACCAATCAAAACACACACACAAAAAAAATTTAATTTTGCAAAGATGATTCTATTCACCATTGGTACATCAAATATGTGTACACTTACGAACAACATGAAATACAATAGACCTAAAAGACAAACAGCTCATTGTGTGAGAGAACTCAGCAGATACCATGTTCAGTTAGCAGCCCTATGTGAAACAAGGCTGGCAAACAAAGGCCAGCTAACTAAAGTTGGAACTGGATATGTGTTTTTCTGGAATGGCTACTGTGGTGAAGAGCATGGTGGAGCAGGCAAGCAAAACTAATCTAGTCAACAAGCTTGTATGCCTCCCAAAAAGAGTGAATGATAGGCTTGTGACAATGTGATTGTCATTGAAGGAAAGGGCCGTGCCACTATTTTTGCTCCCACCATGATGAACTCTGAAGAAGTCAAAGAAAAATTCTATGAAGACTTGGAGACTCTCATCATCAATGTGCCAAAACAGAACAAGCTTATAATTCTGGATGACATTAAAGGTGAAGTAGGCACAGACTAACAGATGTGGCAGCGAATCCTTAGGAGGAATGGAGACAAAAACAACAATACCAATGATCACTTACTGCTGAAGACTTGTGCGTCTCATGATCTTCTCATCACCAACACTGTCTTCCATTTACCTAAATGCACTAAAACATCATAGATGCACCCAGCAGCAATCGTTGACATTTAATAGACTATGTCATTGTCAGGAGAAAAGACAAGCAGAATGCGGGACTGACAAAGGTGATGTGTGGTGCAGATTCATCCTCTCCAAGATAAACACTTGCATTCAGCAAAAGTGGTAGCTCAAGGGCAAGATGACTAGGAGGAGACCCAACATCAACAGATTAGAGTGTTTCTCCATGCATGAAGAGTTTATTGCTGGCCTGGAGGGAAATCTGAGTCACCACACAGTCAGCAACAGTGGAGCAGAAGAGGACTGGGCAGCTTTCAGAGAGTCGGCATACAGCACCATATTTGCTAATCTGGGCCAGAACTCCTATAAACATCAGGATTAGTTTGACAAAAATGATGGG